GATGCGTCCTGAGCCGGGGGAGTCCAATGTGCTATATAGTTTGTGAGTCACGTAGCAGTATGAACTAGCCCGATACTATTTGAGCCCTTTTAATGAATGAGCTGTGGCTTCGTAGTAACACGATACCTGGTGCTCTTGGGCTTCAATATATATGCGAACTGGATAGTTGAGCCTTGTCATCACGTATAACACCAGCTAATTCTGACGGATAGAGCATGCAGCCAAATGATCATGACAGGCCCAGGAATCCAACGACGAATTCCCCATACTTAGCCGCGACGCATATTTCTCCGACCCAACCCCATCAGACCCTCTTTTATATGGTGCTTGACAATTCCTGTCCCTACTTCGGCCCCAACGATCGCCAGCTGGAGAGAGCCCGGGATCATTTAGCCGAGCTCTCCAGCGCATCACGAACTTTGGTACCCATCAATTGATGCATGGTTATTCAAACCATAAATCTAGCATAATCCGCTATTTGGAGATGGGATCTTGTGTAACTGTGGTGATGGAGCACAGCTTTCCTACCATTAGCCTTGTCAATGCCAGGAAAAAGTTTGAGAGGAACAGAATTCAACGGATACGAAAGTTTTATTCACATTACGTGACGACCTTGATTGATGTGTCATATAGTTGCTCGAAGAAATCTCCCTAGATGGGACAGAGAGATTTTAAGCAGAAGTTGCTATTTTCATGTTGCGATGATACCTGGTAATCTTTTTGAGTGAAGAGATAAGAGGGTTAATAATTTATATGCCAGTTATGGTGAACATAGACAGATATGGCTTTAAAGAATATTTCTACTGGCTTCTATGGCTATTTTGGCGATCTTGGATCGTGACAGGCAAGTGCGCAGATGAAACCTAGCTATTGGTAATTTGTTCGCTTTTCTTGATTCTACTTGCGCTAGATTCTTTATCAAATACACACCTACAATGGTTACTTGAGGTAAATACTCATAGACATGGCACTCTGTAGGGGGCTGTTTCTGCTCGAGATCAGGCCTGGATCCAGTTTAGTTGGGAATACCTTGGCATGATCGGCTTATTGTAGCATCGCTTCTTCTAGTTAACAGTGCTACCGAACAAATACTAACACCAGTTAAATTACCGACCAGTGAATAAAAAACTGCGCTGTAATAATGAAGATTCTCATAATGGGGAAAGATTATGTGGAGACCTTCCTGGTCCTTGATCAGTATTTTCTGGCGGCAAGATCCTCACCTAAGCTTTACTCAGTCACTGTGGCAACTTGGATATTTCATGGAGCTGTTTGTCTTCCTTCATCAAATTAACCAATTAAATGCGGATGCGTTTATTCTCCTTGAATCATGCAGAGGAATCTGGTGACACTCAGACGGAAACTGACGAGCTTAATTCGCATCATATCCGTACAATCAAGGTATGAATGATGTATATGTGAGATTATCAGTGAGCGATGGGCGTTGAATCTCCCTGACGGTATCGTTCTATTGGGATCGTGTAAACCTGGATTAAAGTTTGAGCGTTTAGTAGTAAAATTCGAAACTTGGCATGGGAGGCCATGGCGACCTAGCTGTAGAGCACTTAATTGTCCTCTGGTAAATTCTGCCATGCGTAATAGTATACTTCGATGAAATTTTTAGACTTTTGCATGAGACGATACGGTCCAGCAACAGAAGTTTGCCGGCTCTTCGAATTTCATGAGCCAACCGAGATGATACCCACACTTTCGCCGTGTAGTTCGTCTGATGATCTTGTAAACACCTCGGACGCTAGAGCCCTTGAATATCCTCCTATATGCCGTGTCGGGTAGCATTTTGTTTGATTCTGGAAGGTCGATGGACACGCCACACCACACCCACCTTTGCTCGTTGCTCCAAGACTCCATGGTAGCTCAACGTCGCCCCAAGGTCCGGCTTTCTGGGGCCCGTCAAATTTACGTATCGCATGATATTTCTGTACGAGTCAGTACCCTTGTTGTGCGCTAATCCATGTGACGTTGGGCCACAGTAGGATTGATGACAATGACGCCTTGACAGAGTCAGACGAGTCATTGAACAGGAACACAAATCACCGACCATGTGTTACAGCTTGATAGCTGCATATAAATTGAAAATTTCGAAAAAAATTGACGCCTCGTCAAGCTCACGATGGGATGAAAATCTCGTTGTATTTCTGTCGGCTTTTCGCGTCCCAGATAAAGTGTTGACGGCATGCCAAACAAGACGATCGTGACGGTTCATGGTCTACCGATCATGTTATTGGTAAACTGAGTGGATTTTGGGTTTGGCTCAGAAGCCTAAACCCAAGCATATGTTCTGCTTAGTGCACCTGCGCCAAAGCTTTCCAATTGTAGTCCAGAACAAATGATGTAGGAAAATAGAATATGACCTAGGTAATTGAGTCGTTATTGTGGGGCGGAGGGTGGAGTGAAACAGTTCGCTAAACGGCCACTAAGACCGATAAACGATGAGACCCCACTCCAGCCTTAGGCAACAGAGCTCATCATCAGTTCTATAGCTACCTATTAAATGAGCAACGTGACTAAGTGACGAAGAAAGGAGATCAATTCGACCGCTACAGTCGTGCTCGACGATTGAAAACCCCTAGTTCATCTTTACTGTCTAGCAAGCTTCGGATTTCATAGCATCCTCGCTTTCCCGTGCCAAGCTAGATCATCGGATTTATCATGTGCACGTGATTTTGGACGATAATTATTCTTACATTTACCCTAGCTACACTGACATAGACGGGCATCCTGGTGTGTTAACTTTGCCATTTTCGCCTCAAGGAATGTCTTGAGTACACCAGTGCCTCGTATCCCATCTCATGCGGGCCAGACAACAAAGTCATTGCTGCTTGTGTCCAAGTCCGACCTGAAACTTCGACATATCTCTGTCCGCTGAACATCACGAAATTTTGATCGGGCTTCCCGCTCAGAATAGCGAATTTTAAAGAAGGCTCTGATTGGTCGCAGTATCAACAGATCGATCGGAGCCCCAGGCCCAGGCTTGGCAGCGTAATAATTGCTCAGGCCACGGACGCTCAGATCATTATCATGGAAAGAAAGAAAATAAATTAAAAAATCTCATTTGAATGCGGAAACAGTCGCTGGCGGCCATGAAAAGCGTTCTAGTATTTTTATTACACTCATCTGCGTCTCAATTACACATACTACAATAGTCTTCACCCTTGCATTAACTTTTGCGGCGTGGCTTCCTGCTAACATGATTTCGTAAATAGTCTTTTCTTTCACTTCATTAGTTTCTTTGCAACTTTATCTCGACTATGGACTCAAGCTATAAATTTTCAGTTGTTGAGGAGAAAACATCGTAGGAGATAAAACAGAGAATGGTATCGAATGAACGGAGAATCACCATAGGCTGTTTTATTAACGCAGTCCTAGGGCTCAAGCGGTGAAAAGTGATTCCAATCTTCCAAACTAATGTTAGAGATATTCTTGCATACAACAAGACTAGTGATCAACCGTTATAGAAATACTTAGTATCTGCCGGTTGAATTGAGATTCTCTAGCCCTAGCAGCTTCAGCAAGCTCATAAAAAAGCACGAGCTCTCGACTAAGCATCACTCCCAGTGTGTGGGCCACTCTGCTTTTTTATCAAAGCGCAGTCTGTCGCCAAAAGTTGGGGCTTGTGCCTGAGCTTGTACTTCGCAGTCTGATCTTGCATTCTCGGTAGCAATCCACCAAGCGCTTGCCAAACGGCAGCAGGTTCAAGGTGGCATGGAGGCGAAGATCGAGCCAGTGATGCCATTCTTTTGTTTGAAAGCCAGCTTTACGCAGATGCCTATCTCTTGATTGGGAAAAGTCTATTCCAATGTGTAAAAAGGACTACGCGCTCGCAATTCATACGTTCTGTTCGTTGTGAGACAGATTTCTCAATCCAGTAACTTGTGAATATTACTAAACGAATCATATTATGTTTGAAACTATTCTGTAAATTTCTTAAATCAGTCTGATTTACATGTTATTCATTCCCACTTGAGAGGTTGAAAGATCTAGGGGTAGGAGCACTGAAGGAAGCTTGCGGTACTAAGCAGATGGATTGAGGGCTCTGACTGAGAGCGGGGTCATCAATTAATTGAGTCGCTGTCGTGATATTGTACTGTCGTGAACCATAAAATTTGGAACGACAGCTAGCTTGCCTTAAACTCAGTGTCTTCCTATGTGTTCGTATTTACCCACATTATTGCTAGCTAATTAGCTCTGGTCCACAACTACTTGTGGAAACTAAGAGTTGCGTACGCGATTCCAACTAAACCTGAGTGCATGAAATTAGGCGGATGTCTTGCACAGGGTAGCGAATTCGTGGTAAATTGAAATGGATACATTGATGGTAAATGCTAAAGATTATATCAGGGGTATCGGTATGGTGTAGTTGGATACTCAAGGCAGGCTCTATGGCTTAGTTGATCATAAGTATCGTAGGTCTGTGGACTGAGAGTGCATGGCTATCATGGAAATAGTGCTTGCAATAATTGGTACCTAGATGTAGTTAACCATTTTTGAGGTGTGATGCAAGTTGGCTGGTCTGATATTTGCTTGCTACATAGGATAGCTATGGCTTCTTTTCATCAGGATGCAGACGATGGTAGTCCATAGGGTCACTGCAGATGGATCAGGGTAGATTGAGATCGGCTTGCTTCTCGCTTGACGAATCCAAGTCAGGCGGTCTGCAATGATTAACCCCTCCTGCGCCCTTTGGCCCCCTTGGCCACAGATAAATGCGTGCGCAGTGGGGTCGGGGGGGCCCGTCGTCTTATTACGATGGACCTTCCTCTTACCCCGGTCTTGGCTTACTCCAGGCCCGGTTTCCAATCTGTTCTCCACAACAGCAGGCTATGTGGAGCATACGACAACTACTTCTTTCAATGCCGACTGTTATTCATCAGCATTTAGCCCTCCTGTTTTCAACAACAGCAGTAGCAATACTAAGAACCACCAAAACCACCTTATTCTCGCTCACCTAAGCCAACTCTGGAGAAGGGGCTTTGTCAAATATGCGCCGTGTAACTTCGCTGTTGCCATCATGGGATCGAAACAGACAGGAATCTCAAAAAGGTACCGACCGTCCTTGGGTCTGGGCAGAAAATAAATATTCGCCGGCTCTCTTTCATCACCATTCATTTCTTTCGGCCGAGCAAATGAGACACGTCGCCCGGCAGACTATTGCAAATATCGATCCCAGCAGTAACAAGTTTGGACATGAATCCCTCTGGCCCACAACTCTTGAGAAAGAGTCTGAGAAAGCTGCGAGAATATTACACTCGTTTTGCAGTACGTACCCTCAAGAACGAAACACTATTTTCTGACTCGTCCATAGAAGATGGCTTTCTCACCGAGCACGACTCAACCTCAGATTATGCTTTAAGAAGCCCACGTCCGCTTAGTATTATTCCTCCGCACGTTATTAGAAAAGCTGTCGGTTTGGCCATATTTACGGCAATGCGTGCTGGGCTATGGATCTCCGGCGCAGGTGGCTCGGGTGTTTTAATGGCGAGAAAGGAAGACGGTGACTGGAGTCCCCCTTCCGGTATTCTCTTACACACAACCGGACTCTCATTTCCATGCGGTACTGATATATATGACTGCGTTATCGTAATTAATAATAAGGAAGCGCTCGGAACCTTTACAAAGCCTCAGTCGATCCTAGGCGAACACATACAATCAGTCACTGGACCTCTAGGTATTGTCGGAGATACCTTTAATGATGTACCCCCATCTAAAAACTTGTAAGGAACGCCCAGTGTTCATGTCGAAGAGACGAGAGTGTCAACTTCATGAAGATCTTTACTTCAGAATTCTAGAAACGAGAAACCAAGAGCAATGCGCTAACCACTCCCTAGACAATCGACTTTCACGTATCTCAAAGCCCATGGCTTTCACGCTGATGCACAGATGAACGGAACGGTAATTATTGAGCGTAATGATGAGAACGAACGCTTCTATGGACGACCAGTTACAGTTTCAGATATTATGGAGGAAAACTTTGAACCGGAACCCCTGGAAGTAAGAAAACTTATGGAAACTGCCAAAGCATCAGAGGGACGCAAAGATTACAACTATACCTTGACAGATCCACTCGTAGACCAGCCATCTCCCGGAGACGTTGATATTCACTCATCTCGAAGCTCTTCTTTTGGGATTCCAGAAGCTGAGGATCCTGATCCTTTCGGCGTTGTTGCACTCGAAAAAGCTGGCTTCGAAATTAGAGAGTCAGGGACACGCAGTAGGCCTTCATCTTCACAATTTGAGTATCATCCCAGCTCAACCAGTCCAATATTCGCTAGGTTTAATCGCATGAGCATAGATACTGTTGCGAGTCGGAGTAATCGTGGAAGTTATGTCAGTACTAGAACAAGGAACAGTACCGACAGGGCTATCCAAACTGTAGAGATGGGCACACAAACAGAAGAGCTTTCTTCACCCAGTATAAGTTCGGTCTACACTGAGCGTAGGCGGACTTTGGACGAGAAATTTCAAAAAGATATTGTACCAGAGCCCGAAGAAGTCGATTATACTAAGATTGACTTGGGTCCTCTGGCACATCTAAGTAACCGCCCATTAGATCTTTGCACTATCACAGAATCAATTCGGCAGGAAGTCGGACACGAGACTCAATCCTCGCACCGGGAAGAAAATAACAACAGGAATGAGGATGAGGGAGAGTTGGAATTGGAAGAAGAAGAAGAGGAAGATGAGGAGCCCATAATATTTGAAGCAGCATCAGCGCAAGCTGCTATTGCTCGCACTGCAATGAATGCGCGGGGTGGTTTGGTTGATATCCCAAAGAGATTGCCTCCACCTCTTCCTGCTCGCAGTGCATCACGCGGATCTCTTTACTCATCCACCACCAGTCCACTTAAAAGTCAGTTCGAGGCAGGAGAGTCCCGTTTCAAGGAGTACGGAAGCCCAGACTTGAGAGTTTACAACCCCAGCCGATTTTTCATGCCAATGAACGCACCCCCCTTACCTGAACTGGAAGAGTTCGCCGATGAAAATTCGCTAGCATCAGAAATCCCAAAGACAACTCGAGCAATTTCTTCCTAAAATATGTCCAGGGAATACACTGGATGAGCAACTGAAATAATCTAAACGAATAGTAATAATAATAGAGGCATCCTGGATGGTCAGAGGTTTAATTTGTATCACCAAACGCTACTCGCACTAACGAAGTGAGCCAACCATAATGCTGGTAGGGGAATGTGTACGCATTCTAATTTGTGCTTTAATTTGATACCCAAATAGCGACGGCATAACTCTTGTAATGCAACGGTCAATGAGTCTCATGATGTAAGCATATTTATATACCTAATAAGGGGAGGGATTTTTTAATGAATATTCAAAGCTCTCACAAGGCTTTGGGAGCGGTGCTACTTAGACGCGGAGTTACTGTCACTAGATTCTGAATTTTAATCGGCCATAGTCTTCTGTAGTAGTTGCGACGAAGGGAAGCTTAATGATCTACTCAAAAGGTGCTATAATACACCCTCTAATTTAATATAATGTTAAGGAATTATAACGAGTGCAGTGTGATGACAAAATCCTTGAGATTAGCGTGGGATCCGGGGGTTGAAGGCTCGCTCCAACTTTGGGGCATACCTTGCTGGATGGGCGGAATATTTACGAGGCACTCTAACACGATCCCACAACACATGTGAGAGATACGGATAGATATTGTGGGTAGCTACTAGCACATGGATATGAAGTGTGTAAATTTTACCTTGAGTGCTCGCTAAAAAGGCCCAGGCCTTTGATAGGATAGTGGCGACATGGCGGCCAAGCACCGCCCAGATTGCATGGATGAGAGACTTGCCGGGATTTAGTAAAAGTCGACTAAATAGATAAGGCGTTTGTATTAGCAGTGGTATGAATAAGATGGTGGAAGTAGACGAGGCCTGGACCGCGCTCGCATTGGTAAGATTGGTACTCTATTGAAGATTCAGGATAGGCGGGATACGAGTGGCTTAGGTAGAATCTAGCGGGAGTGAGCTCCTGCATTATTGATAGCGCAGTGGCACAGCAGGAATATTATGTGGAGTATTTCTGATGTGAACCAGCAACGATTCCTGAAATTGATGCCACTTCATGGAAACAGCCTGGGTGGTAGGGCAGTTTCTGTGTTTTTTTTGCGGCCATCTTGTTTACGCCCGGCATGCCGTTGTCCTCAAAGAATGACAAGACCTATATGATGCCTGTACATTGGAAGGAATGAGCGGTAGGGTTTGCATTATTATGTGCTCGGGAAGCTGGTCTCGCTATGGCTGACGGGATCGTGATGTTGAGAATTGGTAGCTATAGTGAAGCGAGCAATCTGGTCTCTCGACGCGTGCGCACGAGGTTCTGATCAGGTTGATAGCGAAATTGTCGATGCCTCACGTGGAGCTCTGGAGTGTTAAGTTTGCGCAATTTCGATGCAGTCGTAGGACGAGTTGAGGAAACAAGATGGATCTGAGTAAATTTGAGCTTACCGCACTTGGCAACTGACAGATTTATCGAGCATCGACCTAACGGATCAGGGATGGGGTATGAGTCATGCGCGGAGTTTATCTTTGTCTGGTGCGGGCTGCCACAGTTTCTCCCATGAGCTCAACGCTGAGCGATGAGGGGCAGAGCCATGCCGACGATCCAAAGTCTGGCTAGACGGCGGAAAGCGATACAATAGCCGCATGCCATGGACGCATCCAATGATGCTCATCAAGCTAGTGCTTTGAACTTTTATCCCACCCTCGGCCACGAATGTCTGAAGAAGCCGCCAGCCATGTATGCATCTAGTTTGTAGGCCATGAGGACCATATAAAAGCAGGCCCACAGTCATTTACCTGCAAGAGCGATCAGACGATTGTCAGTAGTTTCATCCTCCCCAGGTGGATTAGACCTCACGGAACGACACGACGGCGGGCTCTTCTGGTTTTGAAGACTCCTCCACCCTCGCCCACTCACAGTGTTGTTGTGTGTAATTCTCTCAAGGTCTAGTTTCCCAGGCACACCTTCGAATCCCTTTCATCCGTCCTTACTCTTACCTCCCATGGGTCCATCAGTAATTGACCGCATTGGGGTATCGTGGTTCAACTTGGGTGCTCGTATGGGTATGGTTGGCGCGATGGAAGCGACGCTGGAGGCCAGTCAGTAAAAATACAATCGACGCCAAGCGTGGCCATGGATCAAAGGATGTGGGATATGATAAGGCTCGATGAAATGCGACCTCCATCAACTCATGGGCTCGGCGGAGGGTTAGAGGGGGTGACGGGAACTTTGTCTCCACCTCTTGCGCTGTATCAGAGTGTGTTGCTTGTTGGGGTCGAGTCATGGCACAATAGCTTCCTTGTACTAGCAGCTTCATGCGACAATGAACGGCTGAGGATCCGATCTTTGCCATGCATTTGTCCCTGGCTAGACCTTGAAACGCCAAGTTATAGCCATGAGAAGATTAGCCCGTTGGCTTGACAAACGATTCGGACCTCACATCTCTGGACAGTGAGCAACGGGCCAGAGAGCCTTTAACCGACGCGAGTGTTTATCAATGTAAGGTATAGCTATGAAGCAGCATAGATGCCTGTAATTTGTTACAATACGGAGCTTGAAGGGCCAGGGTAAGAGGCCACAGCTCTCTGATCCTATAGCTGAAGAAAGACTCTTGGGTTTCCAACAATCCATAATCATGATATGCTCGAGGTCAGGGTGTAAAGAATGCTCCGTCAAGGATCCACATGTACTTTGAACAGGCTGCACCGGCTCTTTTACATTTCCCGAGAGATAATTTGGATGGGGGACATACACGCTGGCCCTGACCATCTTTCCGGTGCCGCCTGCACTCTCGCCAGTTGTTTGATGGCGAGCATGTGCCACTTAACGTGTTAACTACCTTCGACTCTTGCCCCAGTGGAAAATTCCATCTTCTGTTAAGTCTACCCTCTCGTCCTTTTCTCTTTCTAGATCGCCTACCCTGATTTGTGGACTACGATTAGACAGCTGCATGAGAGTTCCCGAGAACTGCGGGCGCATGTGTGGAGGCCATCGGAACCAAAGATGGAGAAGTAGACGAGACTAATTATTGACGAGAGGATATCCTAATCTGGCATCGTTGATGAGAGGAGCCTCCGCCTAGACACTAATGACACCGGCGCTAGAAAGTTCATTTTGTCGGCGACATGTGTCGCAGATGCCTAGTCTAGCATCTCTTGTATTGCGAAATTGCACTGATCCCCGATACAAACGCTGTAATTAAGCCTCTGCTTCACAAAGGCCACTGCTGATAATTTTGAATATTTACCATGCAAATCTTGGCTCTTGTTCCCTATCATTGTTCACGTCGGGCCACTGACACTTGCTGGGTTTCCATAATATCCAGCCTGATTTTGTCTGCGAGATCTTTCTGGAGTCACGAAACAATAAGTAACTAGCCAAATGCTTCCAGCAGAGGCGAGCTCCAGTTAATAGCTACATCGAGTCATCTCCGTAGAATTAAAAGTGCCAAGCGTACATTTTAAGCGACTCCTCTGGCTTTCGAGGTACTTATAATCTGGTTATCACTTGCAAATCCCACCACGAAGTCTACTAATTCATACGGCACAGTGAGTCCTTGCCGATAAAATCCGCCAATGGGAAGTATTCAAAACAACGGGTAGCCCAACTCAGCTGTCGCCATTTCTTCGTCAGCCGCGTGAGTAACACGGTCTGATCTTGCTGGATTGGAACTAATCAATTCCTGCCTCATGTGGGATGGTTGTCGAAGCTATTCAAACACTAATTATGGTCAGCCGGTCTGATTTGCCACCACAATATCCATTCACGGTATTCCCTTGAGGGTAACCTGCACTCTCCCAAAAAAATTCGTGGCGCGTAAAATGGTCTTCTGTGTGAGTAGAGCCTCACCAAATATCAACCCCGTCCCTATTAAAGATAATATCTATTTTTGGCATCATACAATCCATCAATCGTCATCCATTTCATGTGAGCCCCAAAACCTGTGTCGCAAGATTTCTGCGCTACGATATTTTCCTCTCGTGGAAATTTGCATTTTTGTGGGCGTTTACATGGCGGCTAGTTGAGGCCAGAAAACGAGTGGCCGAGAGGTGTGGTAATTGAAGTGAGGATGTACTAGGTCGTGACTATAGACTTGATGAGGCTTTGGTAGAAATTAATCTCGTCGGGAGTGAGAGATTCAATTGGTATGGAGTCGTTTATCATTGTCTCGTGGGCCTATTTCTTTGGTATTGCGGAATCTGGCTAAGCTTGGCTCCGAGAGAATATCCCGCTCCCAGGTTTGTAGGGGATACCGCCGACAGGCATTCAATCTGTCCCCGGTCCTTTGACTAATAGAAATATGCCTAGCGTTACGGCTTATATGTATTCATATTTTCTCATGAAACTTCGAGGAAATCCAGGCAAGCGCACGATACGTCAACTACCTCAGTTTTGCATAGGGGATCTATCGTCCGCATATAGATGGACATCGGTCCATACCAGCCCATTACCCTGGACCTCGCCCATCTAGAACGACAGACTGCACAGTTCGAGCATGACGACTTGGAGAATATCACCGCTGGTTTCCTCACGAAAAAGCAATGCTGACCAGCTCGCGCGCCCAAATGGAATCCCGGAATCATTTCTTTTGCTGCCATCTCGGAAAATATCGAACTCGGCTCTTCACAACCCGGAATCTCGCGTCCAGTCTACCGTGGACTCTTGCTTCCAGAGGCCTTTCATGCACCTAAGAGGCTCGTTGCGAATCACATGATAATTCTAGTAGGCACAGTATTCTGCATTGCACGGCTCCAAAGACTAGAGCTTAGGTGGTTTCCCACTTTCCCTCTGGTAAATTTCACTTGGAGCGTCTAAATTTTGGCGAGTGAGTCACGTTATTTTACAGATCAACTATTCTGCTATTGTGCTCTGGGCGGTTAATTTTCCTGGCATCTAAGATAAAGGTGCTGGATGAACGTTCATGTTGTTCAAAAAAACAAATTTATGTATTGTATATATGCATAGTGTACAGCCGCCCGGGTAGCTCAATCGGTAGAGCGTGTGGCTCTTAGATATACCTCAAGGTCGCGGGTTCGAGCCCCGCCTCGGGCTCAATTCCCGCTGCATAAATACTTTTGCCAACAGGTTATGATTTTCGCTTACATGTCCACAGTCAATCGCATGGATGACGAAGGCTGAACACCTGTCAGTGGTGTCCTCTACGGACCTGGGATTGGTATATTCTCTCAAAGCCGAGATTCAGCCGCGAAAAAAGGGTGGGTTGAATTTTATTAGATGGATTTCCGACTTGAAGGAGTTGCACTCGATATTTTGGACGAAAAATCATTCGACAGATATTTCATAGCCGAAACAAAGTTGAATAAAAGCTTATCACCACTAACATACGATTCACGAATGGGCCTGGATCTATATGGGGGTCGTATTCAAACATCCGACATCTCTCAAACTCTTTATGTATTTGTGACGAAGCATTTCTCAGTTGATTCTACACCTGCGACCCACCTCCATACTCGTCACATCACCTACCTACACATGCCTTAATGAGGATAGTCGTGATGGAAACGTGTTGTGCTAGTGATGGCTAGGATTACAATGCACGAGGGCAATGATCACTGAGGGTGAAGGAAGAACTTTCCAGGTGGCTCCATGATGAGTAGAGGAACAATGGAGCACTGTATAGAAAGTGTTTCTAGATTGTACTGCCAGATGGAGGAGACTAGAATATTCCGTGGTACTGTTTTGGGTAAATGAGGCAAAAGTCTAGCTACCTCAGATGTGTATATAATTAGCGCTTTCTACCCCCCAAATCCTCTAAGGTCTGAATATCAAATGTATCAGCAGTTCATATTGATTTATCGAAAATCACCCGTAAACCTTCTGCCAATTAACCTCCTTAAGCTCTTACCTTTACAACAAAACGAGACGTGTACAATGGAGAAAGAAGAGAGTAGATACACCGAGGGGATTACACAAATCTCCAATGACGAAAGCAACCCAACAGTACGATATGAAGGTGCAAGGCTAGAGCAATGATGAGATCCGGGACTACATTTATATTTTGGAGTTAATGACGATATCAAGGGCTCGGGCGCGTGGTGGCCGAGGCTGAGGATGAATTTGCGCCATGGCGTGTTGGCAGCGGGTTTCTGGACGGTCAGACTTGGTATGATTCAACACATGGGTAAAGTCTGAGGTGGTCCGGTCTTTTTTTTTTTTTTGCATCAGATTTTAATTGCGTATGCAGCTATCTAGCTATGACACAATATCAGAGAAAAGTACAGAAAAGATGACTCAGTTTACAAGAGGAGCACTCATGCCTCGGATTTCATTTGCAAGTACCACTGCGAAGTTATGGTGGCTTTTTCTTCACCCCAAGTCAACCCTCATCCGTGAATACCCACCCAGGGGAACATCTCAAAAAACCTTGAGTTATCCAGACATGCCTCCGTCATCCATCAAATTTTCTCCGCGCGAAATGTAATCTGAGATGTCTCCTTCCCAAGTGGAGTAGGTGCCCAGGCTACTCAGACCATACCAGAGAACACCACCAGGAGGCGGACCACAACACCTTCCATCGTTTGCTTGTTTTTACAGTGTCAGCTGCACTCTCGCAAGCGAAGTCTTGGCGCGCACAAAGCTCAATTCGTAAAACTCTTGCCAAAATTCGAAATTTCACGCCCGTCGAAAACGTATCCCTCTTCTGCATCATCTTGTAAACTTGTCCTGATTCCTCTCACGTCCATCCCAAAGAGCTATCTCCCAGATTTGTTCGTCACGCTTTGCTTCCTCCGTCGGGTATAAATATCGGCGTGGGCGTGTATTTGGCGGTCAACTAAGGCCAGAGAAATTCGACGAGAGGTATGGTCATTGGGATGAGGATGTACTAGGTCGTACTTGCAGACTTGATGAAGCTTAGTTGGCAATCGGACTCTTTGGGAGTGAAAGATTGACATGCTGAAGTAATTTGAAATTTTGCCTCGTGGGCCAACTTCTTTGATATTGTGAAATTTGACTAAACTTGGCTGTGGGAGAATATTTCACCCCCAGCTTCGTAGAGGACACCGCGTACAGGTGTTCAGTCTTGCCCTCCCCTTGCCAAATACCATGCCCACCACAAAAACTCGTGGCAAGTTGATTGCTCAAACGTCTAGATGAATTGCATGGCCAAAGAGGGCGGCTCAATGGCGGTCCTCGGGCTCCTCCAAGTACTCAAGAGTGGCTGCTATAATCACGGGTATGATAGTCGACAGCTATAACGTAGCAACTGATGACTATGTTGGTCAGGGAATGTTGCTATCATAATAATGTAACCATTGTTGTGGTTCTAACAGTCCTGCATCTGTTACACTTGTCATGTACCATGTCGTTTTCGTTTCCGTTATTCGTATCATTTAATACTGCGCCACATCTTTTTTCTGTAATATTAATAAGTCTTGAGGCTCAACACAAGATATGTTGGAAATTATGGTATTTACATGATTCTGTCTTACACTCAGCTAGCTTGGGGGTCTACTGGTGGTCAAGACATACCTTCACCATGATAATGTCGCCACACTGGGACATGGGCGCAAATCCTGGCTTATTTCTAAATTCGTCTCACTAGGACTAATTCCTGTATATATATGTAGTGTTCTTCTCCTTCAGAAATCCTCAGTTCATTACATTTACTGAGTATCTCTGAAGCTCTATTCAACTGCTTCGTTGTTCGACAGATATCCTCCACGATCCATAACCTCACAATAGCCATCGCAAGGCAATGACTATGTAACTAGGGATGCTTGAGGTTCTTGGTTCCTAGGATGGAACAGATTATAGACTTTGGGCCTACGGGGACTCTAGGTCAAGAGTGTCTTGGGATTACTACGATATCCTCTGTAGAATGAAATCTTAAGAGGGTGTATGAGTCTCTTCCTAAAATCATAGTATGTGTACTGTACTAACGAGGTTGTGATAAGTGTAAGAATTGTCGCAATGGATGTAACAGTCAGCTTGGGTGAATATAGGATAGCGCTTCAAGACGGATGTGTATTGTAGATCTGCTATATTGATGACTATTAAAAATAAGAGTGGATAGGCTTCATCATGTACAGAGGTCTAGCAGCGAGTATATATACGCAAAATACACCATCTATAGCAATAACTCGCAACCATTCAGCCACTCAACGATTGTGTCATTAGATATATCTGCCTCATGTTATCATGTATGGCTGAGATGCTTGTGTTGTCATTGCTTTGTGCCGATGACATATCATTGACACAGGACGGCTTGTCCTGTCGTGCTCTGTGAGTACTAGTCTCAAGGATGGGGGCTTGACAGTGTTCCACGGGGTGCGTTGTATAGCCTAGTGAAGATCTAGGTGGTAAGTGATGATATTAAATGGGTCAAGATCATGATAGATCTTCTCCAGCATGAGACGAATGGGCAAATAATTGCGGTAGATGTGTCACGTGGTATTGCTGGTGAAGAGCTGGAAAATGGATAGATAATCTTCCCGAAGAAGAGTTGGGTAAACAAACGTAAAGTAAAGGGTAAGTAAAGAAGACGTTGCGTGAGGAGTAAATCTCTCTCATACTGAAGTATTATATACAATAGTAGAAGCATTTGCCAGCCGGAATTAATCGTAATCGATTCTTGCCAATATCCTCGCATTAATGGCTGTGTTCGTGCCCTTCTCTCCATGACTCTCTTGTATAACCTTACCAGACTTTTTACATGACTAATTGTGTAGAGGAAGCTATTCGAAAATTGACGGTTTTAATTATCCACGCCTTCGTCTCATCACGAATTAAGATTAGAATTGATATTCTAGTTAAGGATCCGTGAAACGGGTCATCAAAAGTTGGGCAAGTGGACGAGAGAATTGTTATCTAGAAATTTTGGTGAAGACATTTCACAATCCTATCGCATCTATTGTTTTGTGGGAACTTCCAATTTCCAATATCTAATACCGCCCCCCCCCCCCCCCCCCCAATGCAAATCATTCATACAACATCGACTCTGGCCTACGGAGGGCGAAGGAGCAGAACTCCCATCCTGATTGACCATATTCATAAAGTACGATTGATGGGAGAGTTCCAACGAGTTGGACTAAGTAGTAACCATCTTCTAGTTACGGTGGAGAATAGTTAGTGATGATGAGGTCGCGGGAAAAGGTAGTCTGACCGTTGTGTCTTGTTGTCCTTGAAAAATGATATGCCCCCCTTACTTCACCGCTTGAGCTTAGCGGGTCACCGGCTAGTACTTCATCGGGTGTAGCTTTGCTTGCATAATCTTCAGCTTCCTCCAGCTCAAATATTTCTCCGCTTCCACACTTAAGAACAGTATCTCCGAGCGCAGTGGGTACCAGAAGGAAGATGCAAGTCAACGCGGCCGTGGAAGCTGCACTAAGAAACTTCATATCAAGGATGTCGTCTGCACGAAGCTGGACTGTGAACGAGAGACTGTGAGATATCTGGTATTTCGAGCTTCACCCAATTTATACGTTGTCACCGAGGGAAGTAGATGTCGCTGTTGAGATTGGCCTGGTTTTCCGCGCTGATAGATCTATTGATAAGTATCAAGGTGATTTTGGTGGAAATTCGTGTGATGATGACTGCAAAGGATGAGACTCTGTATTTGTACTCATTGAAGAGATCTATTTATGAATATATCAACATGATAATTCAGAATTAGAAAATCCTGCAGCTTCCTTGCAACATGTAGCGCCACATTCCTTCCAACGTCGAAATTACTCAAGCTCGGCTCAAACGTCTTCTATTTTGACCATCAGCCGACTCGGGCGACAGTCGTATCAAAGAGAGATATTCTTTATTCGACCGAGAGAGTTGTTCGGAGAGATTTTCTAGGCCGTAATGTTTCGTAAGACGAAAGATTGTCTTGGTGCTAGTTCGCTTTCCTCTGCAATCCTATCATTTTTCGTGCTTGGCCATCCTACACAGTTCAAGTGTACGAGGCGCCATTTGCAATTGAAATGCTTTATTCATTACCATTCCCTACCAGAATTGCCCGTTACATCGAATAAGTCCGACCTCCACCACTGGTAAAACCCACTACACATGCGCTAATGCGTAAAATCATCTCCAGTCTCGATCCTCGAGGATCAACCTAGCGAGCAGCTTAATAGGACCTTGTAGTGTTCATCGGAACTCAAGTTACAATATTGGCAAAAATAAGGGGGGAAGTTGAGGAAGGTGCAGCTATCTGCGGCGCTGGAAGATCTGATGTAGAAACATTTTTTTTAAAACATTTAATGTATATTCAGCTATAGAGCTATGACACATGACCGGTGCTATGCTTATATGAAGGAAGACTCTTTTGACGTTAGAGACACTCATACTCTGGATTTCATTTGCAAATACTACTATGAGGTAGGCTTACTTACACAAATAGTCGACCCTCCTCCGTAAGTACCCACCAAAGGGAATTTAAAAACCTTTGATTATCCAAGCATGTCTTCGTCATCCATGCACACCAGCACCGCGAGAAAAGTGGTTGTATTTTGCTGGATTTGAACCAGCAATCTACTGTCTCAAGTGGAATATGTGTCCACGCTACCCGGACCCTGTATGATAGACCGGCCAAGAAGATGTACCACCGCACCACCCAACCAAGGCGGTGTTTATAGTATTGCCTGCACTCTCGCAACCGAAGACTTGGCACGCACAAAGCTCGATTTGTAAAACTCCTTGCCAAAATTCAGAATTTCACGCCCTTCGAGGTTAAAACAATCCTATGCATCATCTTGTCAACATATCCTAATCCCTCTCACGTCCATCCCAAGGAACTTTCTTCCTGATTTTTGCGCTACGCTTTGCAACCTTCGTCGGATGTAAATATTGGCGTGGGCGTGTATTTGGTGGTCAACTGAGGCCAGAGAAGGTCGACGAGAGGTGTGATCATTGGAATGAAGATGTACTATGTCTTACTTGTAGACTTGATGAGAGCTAGGTAGGATTCGATCTCTTTGGGAGTGAAAGATTGACATGGTGTAGTATTTTGAATCATTGACTCTTGGGCCAACTTCATTGGTACTGCGAAATTTGACAGAATTTGGCTCTGGGTTAAAATTTCACTCCCAGGTTCGCAGAGGACACCGTGTACGGGTGTTCAGTCTTGCCGTCCGAGATACAGACTTGAAACCCCCATAGAAAAAAGTCAACAGGGCATTTCATGAAGGAATCTGTTGTGGTAGGCACAAAAGTCGCCGTATCCAGTATGGTTCTGAATAAAGTGGTCTAAATAACGGCGAAGTCTAAGTTCGTCAGGAGGCTTCTAGGGAAATGGCATGCCTAGCTCACAATAGGTGGAGATAGCGTGGATATCAGGTCCTCGATACCATTTTTTTCATTGCGAGTGCCCCAGCAGGATGCGGAAGGGGAGCCAATTGGCGTGTAGCCCCACCTGCCAATTCATTTCCAGGAATGCCGAGATATCCAGGCGACCATATCACGTAAATTTTTCCTGGAGCTGCGATTGGTGGAATGCTCCTTCAAGGCCACTGAGAGGCCAGTTGTCGAACTCCAAAATTTTGTTTTATGAAGTTTCGGCAGATGAACAGGCAAGAAGGCATTGCGCTGCTTCTTCATTGTCTACAGTCACGTTGGCAATAGTTTGGCGAACGGACCATACGAGGATGCCCGTGCAACATTACTCACGCAGAAGATGCGTATGTGTAGTTGGATATCTTTACCACAGTGCCAACTGGCCTAAAGAGACTCATTACCTGATCTGTACACCCAACAGCTTTCTTACTTTACGTGGTAGACTTGTGAGCTCACACAGAGAATGACAATTACAGTCTCTAATGGGTTGAAATTGTACAATTGTTAAAATGACTGGGTTAGACCCCCGTAAAAATTGATTTGATTGGTTTGGTCTTTATGCAGGCTCATGTTTAGTTCGACGACTAGTTATCTAAGCAGGGGTTCTATCCAATGATATTCCGTGAAAGTCTAAATTATGGGGATGGTTTTCAACCCAAAAGGAATTGTACAATGGTCCTCTTTAAAATAAATAATAAAAAAATCAATTTTTTTAATTCATAGTGTATTCAGCTATCTAGCTATGACACATCTGATTATTTTATGTCTAATTGAAAATATTTCATTCCGCATTTTCTCTACTTATCTTCAAGATGTTGTGATCTAACGCTGTTCAATCTGCGGACTTTGTGGTGAGCAGTTATTACATCTCACGTGATGGAACACGGTCGCGAAGTAAAAGGGGGGACAGCCCACTAGCCAAATCTGTGCAATTACGGGCACACGTAGAACTGTAGCACATTCTCTGTAGAAAGAAATAATAAGCAATTATCAACAATGGTTTGGATGGTGCAGTGGTATACCATCCGTGCCGTTCTCCTAAGTACATGATGTGTAGCTTGAACACCTACCCCATTCGAGACACGAGAAAGCTGGTTCGAATCCAGTCAGACCCACACACCACTCTCTCTCGCAGTGATGTGGATCCTGAAGGTGTAGATAATCGGGAGCTGAAGACGAGGTACGAGCGTCGTCTTATCACTAGTTAGGTAAGACCGGATCACCACTCAGGGCAATAGCGTAGATTGTATATAGAGCAAGGTAGTTCTTAGGGGATAGGCTAGGCAACCCTCTGCTTATCTTAGACTTCGATATTGACCCCGTGAATCCTGATATCGTGAGTCCCGAGCGATAACGGTCTCAACTACTTACCGCCACAGTGATATCGTACTTGTGGGATGATGTAAGCACACTCGGATAACCACAGGTTTTTCACGCTTTTCCCTGTGGAGGGTATGCACGGAAGAGGTTGTACGCCGTAAGGGTTAACCTCGAGTGTTATCTGCAAATGACATCTGAGCGTGAGAGTTCTAATCGTCAAATTGAGTCATCTTACTTAAAGTACATATCTTCCGATAAAAACCTGCATGGGCCTCGAGGCGCCAAACCAGGTAAAATAATATATATATATATCTCATCAATAATTAAATCAACCTCCACACAATTGAGACCCATAGAAGTGCCAAACTTTCATACAACCCTCAATTTTATTGTCGCAATTGCATCTGTAACGAGCCACCACTGCATTCCAGAATACACTCTCTAACTGTGATAAGCTACACCGCCAGGTCTAGCAAACAAATTACAATAGGTTATGAGCCCGGAAGCTCAAGTCAACATCTGTCATAAAATTTCATTACCCTTCCATCCAAAAAAGTTTATATCTCCAACAACATGTCTTCCTCTTCCGACGATGTAAAAGCGAAGTCCAATCCAGCAGCATCAAAAATCCAAGCTAGTCTCAAAAGAATGCCCATTCTTACAGGGAGTGAAAACTACCGCAGACGGGCAGGAGCTTGGGAAATTGTGTTGGAAGACAGCGAATTGTTCGGACTCATAACGGGGGAGATCACAGAGCCAGAAAGTAAAGATTCGGATGGATGGAGACATTGGAAACGACAGAATGTTAAACTGCGTAAAATACTTCTGAATGCTGTAGGTGAAGATCTACAAACAGTGGTCATTGACAGTCTGACAGCCCACAAAGCATGGAACCTGTTGAAGGCTCGATATGATCGCGACACGACAAATACAACGACTTCTTTATTAAAATATTTTATAAACATCTCCTTAAACGACGGGGATAACATCCCAGACCACCTCTCAAGGTTTTCAGCCGCCTGGAACCCCCTAGAGCAACGCTCGAAAACAACGAAGTCGTCTTTAGGCCGAACCCTTCGAACGCTCACTTGCAATGATGAAATAAAGGGAGCATTTCTTTTATGTTCGTTGCCTAAAACCATGGATAACCTCGTCGATAACCTTGCTACTAAAGAACTCACAAGCTTTGAAGACGTCCAGTCTAGACTCTTAGATCTAACAGGCAGTACAACTGATATTCCAAAAGATAATACAGTCTATAAATCTACAGAGCAGGGCGTGAAAGAATGTTCTTGGTGCAAGTCCAAAAAGATGAAATACCAGGGTCACCTGTACACCGACTGTCAAAAGTTAAATAAACACCGTGATAAGAAGAATCAGCGAAGAGAACTCAAGCTGAATGAAATTGCTGGTGCTGCAGCTCACAAAGGTGAATTCTCAGACCACGCTCTTGTTTCAAACTCTTCGACTGTCACTTGAACAAAGTGGATATTTGACACTGGTGCATCAGCACACATGACTGGATGTGAAAGCGATTTTGAAATTCTTACTTGACTTCAAGGTCAAAGTGTCAAAATCTCCAATAATACACACGTCCCCGTAACTGGGAAAGGCACGGTAAGGTTGAACCTTTTGATAGGTAAAGGAGGAGTCATAAATAATACCCTCCATGATGTCTTGCTGTGCCATTATTTCAAACAACGAGGATATATTCATGGGATAAGGCAAGGGTGCAAGGTTACAAACTAAAAGGAGA